GTTAAATGTTTTTGCAAAATTTATTCTAGCCTAATACACCAATCATACAGTCTACCCTGAAGGTTACGCTTGCGCTCTGCAACTTATCACAGAAGTAAGGAATGGCAATCATGGTTTACCGGATCTACGTCCATATTGTCATGTGACCATGTGATTCTGGTTGTCCAAACATTATAGACTGGTCTTTCCGTAAACAAATAAAAACAAATAAATTAGTCAGATATGGATTCAAACGCATAATACAAAAATTCTAAATTTTAGAAAGAAATATGGATGGAGGTAATCAACCACAAGATGACACCACTGACCTTATAGATGACGAAACTAAACAGAAACTAATTGATGATCTCTTAGCAGTGTTAAATTCTGGGTCTGATGAGGAATGTTCAATTTGTTTAGACAGTCTAAAACACCCTGTTATAACACTCTGTGCTCATGTTTATTGTCGTACCTGTATTGAAAACGTCATACAACAAAATAACACGGTCAGTATATTTATTACACCTTTACTCCTTGAAAATATTACAGCTTTATAACTGGAAATATTACAGCTTTATACCTGGAAATATTACAGCTTTATACCTGGAAATATTACGGCTCTATATCTGGAAATATTACGGCTCTATAACTGGAAATATTACAGCTTTATAACTAGAAATATTACAGCTCTATATCTGGAAATATTACAGCTTTATAACTAGAAATATTACAGCTTTATAACTAGAAATATTACAGCTTTATAACTAGAAATATTACAGCTTTATAACTAGAAATATTACAGCTTTATAACTAGAAATATTACAGCTCTATATCTGGAAATATTACAGCTTTATAACTAGAAATATTACAGCTCTATATCTGGAAATATTACAGCTTTATAACTAGAAATATTACAGCTCTATAACTGGAAATATTACAGCTTTATATCTGGAAATATTACAGCTTTATATCTGGAAATATTACGGCTCTATAACTGGAAATATTACAGCTTTATATCTGGAAATATTACAGCTCTATAACTGGAAATATTACAGCTCTATAACTGGAAATATTACAGCTCTATAACTGGAAATATTACAGCTTTATAACTAGAAATACTACAGCTTTATAACTAGAAATAATACAGCTTTATATCTGGAAATATTACAGCTTTATAACTAGAAATATTACAGCTCTATAACTGGAAATATTACAGCTTTATATCTGGAAATATTACAGCTCTATAACTGGAAATATTACAGCTTTATAACTAGAAATATTACGGCTTTATAACTAGAAATAATACAGCTTTATATCTGGAAATATTACAGCTTTATAACTAGATATATTACAGCTCTATAACTGGAAATATTACAGCTTTATATCTGGAAATATTACAGCTCTATAACTAGAAATATTACAGCTTAATAACTAGAAATATTACGGCTTTATAACTAGAAATATTACAGCTTTATAACTGGAAATATTACAGCTTTATAACTGGAAATATTACGGCTTTATAACTGGAAATATTACAACTTTGTGGTTTGTATGTTTGTTATATTATGAATGTTGCATTATGGTTATGTTCAAGGTCAGAAAGATTTTTATATTTCCAGATGACAACAGCATGTCCGATGTGTCGAGAAGAAATAAAGTTAGGTTTTTGGTTTGGAGTTCCTGAAAAACAACAACCGGAGATACCTGTGATTACTGATGAAAACTGGCAGTCCAGTAGCAAGGTAGGAGATATTTACAAGGTTTCTAAGTTATTGCCCTTGATTTAGTTT